AAATTTCATCTGTCATCTTTTGTTATCCATTCCATTTGAAATTATTTACTCTTTTCTTCTAGTCATCTTGTTAATTTAATTTCTCTGTACGATATGAAATGTATCAATTCACGGCAATAAGTATTCCTACCTCAGTGACAATAGTCATTTATTCTTACAGCTTAAAGGAACAGATTACTGGATGATTTCAAGAAAACTGTTTACTTTTATAAAGTATCAGAAGTTACTTAGGTATTTTATATACGCGTTATTCAAAATATTATGACAAACATGTTAAATGTAAGTCGCATTATTTGTTTTCAAAAGTGCTGTTATTGAGTTAATGTGATTACATGCACTAAACTTATTCGTTGCATAGATTTTAATTGTGTTCAAAAAATAAATACTGTCAGTTCGTTCTTTTCTTAATTTCCTCCTCAGCTGGAAGTTGGTTTGTTATCTCCCACAATGGGCTGTTGCTAATGGTATCCGGTCAAAGGACGATGAGTATCTTACATAGACAATTGTTTATAAATACTTGTACGTTTTTGATGGTTGTGGTAGTTCTCCAAGTTCCGGTCCCATACAGTGGAACTGTCTTGACATTTGTATTGAAGATTGTGACTTTGATATTGGTTGACAGATATTTTGAGTTGCATATGTTATTCAACTTTAGGAATGCTGTCCTTGCATTGACAATCCTCGCATTTACGTCCGCATAAGATGCTCCACGTTCATCGATGATGCTATCCAGATAAGTGAAACTTCCCACCTCTTCCAGAGTTTCTCCGTCAAATGTGATTGGGTTGATGTTCTCTGTATTGCATTTGAGGATCTTGCTTTTTCCTTGTGTAGGTTAAGGCCTACTACTGCAGAGGCTTCTGCTACACTGGCTATCTTCACCTGCATTTGTTGGTGTATATGGGATAGAAGGATCAGGTCATCTGGAAAGTCCGAATTGTCAAAGTGCATCCAATCTGTCCGCTGTATTTCGTGCTTCCCCTCATGTGGTCTTCATAATCCAATCAACCACTAGAGGGAAGAATAAGAGGGAAAGCAAGCAGCCTATCATGACTCCGGTCCTCACTACGAATGAATCCATCACTTGTCCTGCATAAGCGTCTTTGCAGTTTACTCAGTCGTATGAATTCCGTATGATATTGACGATTTTATCAGGTACTCCATATTGTCGAAGACGTTTTCATAGTCATACTATCTACACTGTCAAATACTTTCTCATAGTCAAGGAAGTTAATATATAGTGACGGATTCCATCCAATTGATTGCTCAACAATGGTCCGTAGCGTCGTGATTCGGTCTGTGCACGACCGATCCTTACGGAGTCCACTCTGTTGATCTCGAAGCTAGACGTCTACTGAATCTTTCATCCGGCTCAGCAACACTATGTTGAAAACTTTTCCCGTTACCGATAGTAGTGTGGTGTCTCCGTAGTTCTCACATTTGTTCAGATCTCTTTTCTGTGGTATCTTGATGAGGTATCCTTCCTTCCAGTTCATCGGCATTTGCCCTTCCTTTCAAAACTTCCTGAATAGAGTGTGAAGCATGTTTGCAGTTACTTCTATGTCTGACTTTGGTGCTTCGGTTGGTATATTGTCAGGTCCTACTGCTTTCCCACTCGATTTGTCTGATGGTCATCCTAATTTCTTCAGTAGTTGGTGAAGTGACATCTATAGAAAGGTCTGTGTATACTGCCTTGATGTCCGGTGGGTTCAGTGGGGCAGGTTTATTCAAGAGTTCCTCAAAGTGTTTTACCAACCTGTTCCTCTGTCCTCGAATCTCAGTGTCTGTCTTGTCTCTCTGGCTCACTATATTTGCCTACCACTTTCTCTGTTGTATTATATGATTGTTTCATGTTTCCTTCTCTTGAAGCATTTTCCGCCGTCGTTTCTAGATCTTTCATGTATTGCTGCTTGTCAGCTTTAATGCTCTTCTTCACTTACTTGTTTTCTTGTGTATTCAGTTTGTGCCTTGACTTTCTCTGCTAGTGTTCGACTGTTGTTAAGTGCCAAGTGGTGATCTGATGCTATGTCAGCACCTCTCATGGTTTTCACGTCTCCCATTGTCCTTCTCAAATTTTAATTGATACAAATATGATCCATCTGGTTCTGTGTAATGTGATCCGGTGAAATCCACGTAACTTTCTGTATGAGTTTGTATGGGAATATTGTACCGCCTATAACCAATTTGTTGGATGAATATAGATTTGCAAATCTCCCATCATTTCCGTTTCTCTCTCTCAGTCAGTCCATGTCTTCCCGTGATATCTCTAAATCCAGTGTTGTCCATTCCGACTTCGGTGATTAGGTCTCCCATCAGGATGTTGAGATCCTTTCTTGGGCACTCCTCTATAACTCATTGCAGCCTCTGGTAAAAGTAAACTTAATCGTCGTCACTGTCATCATGGGTGAGTGCATAACATTGGATTCCATCGCTCTTTATTTTGAAGAATGCTTTGATGATCCCGGATCCATGAGACGCCCATCCCATAAATGCATTTCGTGCTTCTTTGGACAGCATCAGAGCAACTCCACAAATGTGTATAGCATTTCCCTCTTCGTGACCGGAGTACAACAGCATCTCTACCGTTTTTCAGTTTAGGTCCAATGGGTTTTGCTGATTTCGAGGACCCCCAAGTTGTATCTCCTCATTTCCGTTGACTGGTACTTCTGGTCTCCCCCATTATCCGTACATTCCATGTACCTATAAAAGTTCTTGCTTTGTTTGCTGGAAGAGGGATTGGTCTCGTGACTTCCGGAAAATCTCGGCTTTTATCATGATGCGTCATGATTCTTCCTTCTGAGCAATTTTATTGTGACCAAACATGTAGTAATGGATAAAACCATTACTATTGTTATTTTCATTGCCATATTGTCATTAAGGTGAAATAAGCTTTAAGAGTTTATTATATTGAAAATTATAAAAAAATAAACTCAACAGATTTATTTCATGTCTCCAACTAGTAACTAAATAAAATTTAGTTAACCTTAATACCTACATAATTTAAAAGACGTTCATGTAATGGTAAAATAATCGAAATATTGAACGATGAAATGTAAACATAAACAGTTAAGATTGATTTCATCCATTTCAAAGTACATTTTATTCAATCAGAATGTTAAAAAAACCGTAACATATTTATTGTTGATTTGTTATTGAAGCAATCTTCGATAACCAGAGAGATGAGTAAACTCTAAAACCGCTTTCACTTAGTTGTGATAAAATCACACAGATCGCCCTTGTTATATGGTGGCATAACATTACTTGTTTACTGGTCAATTTCGATAGGAAATAATTCTAGGTACAGAATTCACTACAATTTAGCACGTTAAATATTTCCATACTTAAGGGTTCAGTATTTCGACATGACATTACTGATTGAAAAGTGGCCTTTCTGTACTTAAATAAACGTTATGTGACCTTAACTGAGCTTCGATTTTACGATATAAAGGTTAAACCCTACTTATTTCATGACAAAAATAAATCAAAACTATAAGCTCATTCGAAGTACAACGTATAAAACAACCAGCACTTACATATTGGCTAGGTAACGTATATGGTGAACTGATTCAAATATGTAACGTTTGCTAGAACATTGTAATTTGCGGGAAACGACACGTTGGACAGACAAAAAGATTGAAACTACCCAGTGAGTCATCAGACGACTGGTCTATAAAATCAACAGCAGGCTTATCGATACACATACGCAAGTATATGAATCAAATTTTGTGTCCCCTTTGTCTTCTTCGTACTCACAGACTTAGCCGATTGCATAAAGGATATAGTGTTGAATAGAAATGTGTGCGCTCTTTAATTTAGTTAACATTAACATTACTACTTTGTTGACATTTGCGGAATCCAAGTTTATAACATTTCAATATATTTTTTAATCCACAATAGGATGTAAATTATTGATTTTTCTTATATCAACAGGTTTATGAAGTTATTTAGAGTAGATTTCACCTATGAACTGATAGAACAATGATCGAAATGCCAAGATATTGAAAAACACTAGTTCAAACTTATCTTCATTCATGTACTATCAAACTAATGAGGTAAATCACGACGATCAACTTAATTTTAAAGAGTTACTTAGAAATCCTTTAATACTGGCATTGTATTCATTAAACACTATAGGAAAACGACTTTTCTGCGTTGAATTCGATTTGTTTGACGGTTGATGTTTACAGTTGTATGGCTGACTTAAAAATATATAAGTATTCTAACTCTCATATGACAAATATCATGGAAATTTTGTTTAAGCTATAGACGACCAAATTCAATCAAAATCTTAAAAACAACTTATAGTGAGAAAAACATACGGTACATCTTAATAAGTAGTGCCGATAAGTAAAAAACTTTAGACTAACTCTTTATCACTAAGGTGGCTGATACATAACACGATCACAATACACAGTCCGACTGGAAAGACTTATTCACCAATATGTTATGTAGCATGTAATAACAGATTATGGATTATGTATACAACTTACGAGTAAATACATCAATAATTCATAATTTATATTCGATAGGAAACAAATTGTATGTAAGCAAATGAGATGAACACTGTGAAAAACACACAAATGTAGTTAGTAGTAACCTTGCACATCCTCATGAATACGTTGAAATATTCCCAAAACAGGAACAAGAAATAATAACAAGAGTAATGTGAAATAAAGAACAAAAACACACTTAAGCCGATATAGTCAAACCAATAATTTATGTTCACTCAGATATAAAAGTATCAGCGAGAAACAAAAAACCAGTAAGGAACTAGGAAGAAATTTGATAGACCAGAATGGATAATCACCATTACGGTATAAATAAGTAGTGACAACAGTAAAAAGAATGTGACATAATAGTAATAAAAGAATAAACACTAAAAGACAGCGAAAAGTGAGCCACACTAGATATGAGATCGATAAATCCAGTCCACAAAATACACAGGTCTACCAAAATCGGGGGTTATTTCAAGAACAACAACCATGAAGATAGTAAGATACTCATATTTCAATACGATTACATTGGCTAAGTGATAAATTTGTAACTGAATGGTTCATTTGTGTGCTGCAAATGTTTGATGAAGCAGTATATACAAGACATTGTTGATTTTCGGCATTCACTGTACAAATAACATTGTTAATATTAACATTATTATTATCACCATCATGAATATTATTATTTATATTACTCGATGTAACAACACAAGAATTAACACTAATAGTATTATTCGTGGTTAGCACAGCCGGTAGAAATGGTAAAGTTAAATTCAAACTTTTATATAACCTTTGATAATGTGGTAGAATTTCATATTCAGATGGAATTAGAGAAAACTCTAAACCTAATGCAACATCTAATTCTGTGTTGATTAAATCACGACGTGAGATACGAAAAGCTGTCTCCAATTCCTAAAAAAAAGAAACAAACGAAAAGGAACGCTGAAAAGACCACATACAACAAAAGCGATAATAAATCTTCTACCAAAAAGATGAATATCAAAATATGATAACTAAATGAGATAAAAAAATGAAATTCCATACCAGAATGACTCAGACAAGAATAGAAGAATGATATCACTTCCGACAATAACAAACTCATATTACACATGAACAGATGAACAATCTATTGTTCAACAAAGTTTTAGAAACGTAATTAGTATCAAAATAAACAGATGCTTTGTAAAAGGTTCATAAAATAATTAGTAGTACAATTTCAAACATTCATAAATTATGTGACATTCTTTGCTTAAATGTTATCCGCGTGTTGTAAATTGTGCCTCAATAGATTAAAAAGTTTTAGATAAGAAAAGAAACACTAGAAGGCAAATAACGTCAATCATAATGGACAGCTAAACATAATTCCAAGAGAACAAACGAGATCAATAAATAAAAAGTATAAAACTGACACTGGGAAGACTTGGAAGCTAGAAAATATAGCTGCAATAACGCCACGGATTATGTCACCAAACTTCCAAAATAAAATATTGTGGCTGTTATTAAGTGTCTGACTATGAATCCTGCACCTCTTCCGTAAGGCTTAAGCTTCCAGATCATTCCTATGTAAGGTACCACTCCACATCGAAATAAGAAGTCCCAAGCATTTGTTACATGCATTCAAAATTTAAAATAAGTGGAACACATCTTGATAATTTTAGTCTATAGGATTATAACATTTTATCAAGTAACTCATTTACACAGCAAAAAAACTCCGATTCTATTACCCATTCATCAATTTCATCAACATAAGCATTCAGGGGATTTACAAGACAACCTACTATAAATGTATTCTATTGACAGTACCACAATGAAATTAACAGATTTTCGTAATTAGTCTATCGATACTTTACAATATCCGTCAGTCAGTCAGTAACAACGTAGAACTTCGTACGTACGTACGTACATCAGTTCGAGTTGCCATACCACATTAGCACAGAGATGCAGTTGTCGATTCAAATCCCGTAGTGGTAGAGGTAATAAGAGTATAAGCAGTAATCGGAAACATCAGGGTTTGGAAATGTTGTTCAAAGACTATAATCCAGTGAAATAAATTTGGGAAAAGAAAAAAAGAGACAAGGAGGAATAAGGAAATCAAAATTTGGTAGAACACAAAGAGTGGATGCACCTGCGCCATTGCAAACGATTTTGAGCCATGTCATTCAGGGTCTCTAACCATCGGTTGCTATCATCTCGTGGTCCCCAACCAGGTAGTCTACACCTACCAACATGACTCAGTCCACTTGTCAGTGACTTCATGGACTTGTGCCATGTTTTGGTCTGGCCGCCTCTAGCTTTCTTCCAACCTACTCCTATACAACAAAACATCGCACATCGAGGCAGTCGGTCGTTGGGCATACGTAACACGTTTCCTAACAACTGCATTACTTACTCGATGGTTCCAGGATATACAAGCAATGTTTCGAAGACACCTATGATCGAATACTAGTAACCTACGAATATCCTCTACTCTTACCGGCCATGTTTCACTGCCATAAAGTAGGACGGAACGAACTGCTGCGCAGTAAACCCGATTTTTGGTCGGTAGACGGATATCTCGCCTATGCTATAAACGATGCAAGTTGACAAAACCCAATCGAGCCTTCTGTATCCGTGCTGAGACTTCGTCACACACCAGACCATAAGGGCAGATGAGACTTCTAAGATAAGTGAAGCGGTAGACACGCTCAACTACTTCACTCCCTACCACTAGTTCGGGTGTCGATGTAACCCAATCCTGAAGCAACATTTTGCATTTCGAGGGGGGAGAATCGTATCCCGAACATGCTTCCATTGTTCCTTAGAGTAGTCAGAAGACTCTGCATTCCGTCAGCGTCTTCACCAAATAGAACTATGTCATCGGCATATTCCAAGTCAACAAGTGAATCTCCTGGTAGAAGTTCAACTCCTGGAAATTTAGATGAGGAAAGTGTTATCTCTAAAAGTACGTCAATGACAAAGTTAAACAAGAATGGAGAGAGTGGACAGTCCTGACGAACACCACTTGAGGTAATCAATTCTGATGACAGTTCGCCATAAGCTCTCACTCGACAAGTTGTGTTCGAGTAGAAAGCCTTTACAAGGTTAACGTACTTCGTTGGTACTCCTTTCAGTGACAAACACTGCCATAGAACCTCACGATCAACAGAGTCGAATGCCATATATATATCACAAAAAATGTATGGATAAACAATTATCTTGAAAATTTCATAGAATCTGAATGATTATAATGCGAAACTACGAAAAACAAAGGGCGATATGAATGGTAAAAAACGGATAATTAATAACTAGGTTGACGAATTTCGTTAATCATTTAAAAGATAGGGATAGTCGAGAAAACAAAAACAAGATATTTAATTCGAAAACAAGGGATTTTATCAGCAGGATCGTGTTATGATGATCAAAATAAGCCATACATACACAAATACATAAGTAAATTCGATAATGTAACGAGTTAAAAAAGTGAACTTTACATTGATTCTAGATTATGAACGTCTAAAATGTGTCATTTACAGAGTTGAAAGGTTATTTAAAAATGATATAGCCAAATTCATTGTACGTTGTTGAGTCACAACTAGCATCGTAAAATAAATTATTCGCGAATCAAGAATAGGCACGGAGGAAATAAACATACAAAGTAGATTGTGAGGTAAGAATTTACAATGTGCCTTATGTATGGTATGACTCAAACAGAGAAACTGAATAGACTTCTTTTGAATACATAAGTTGAGTTTCCTAGAGGCGATCCAGGGTTTCTGACTGCATAAACTAATGATTTTTATTTTATTTATTTTAACACATAGATATTGGTACAAGGATGCACCAAATACATATGCGCCACACAAATCTCACTTGATATGTGTGAGGGCTGTGATACTGCCCGGGTGCCCAAACAGAAACAGGTGGTTTTCTTAGAGGGCCACACCCAGATCCTTTGACCTAAAGGTTTGGCCCACAAGGCAGTGGAGCATCATGGGGAGATGCAGTCCCATGGTTGCAGGTGACCAACAATTGGTTCATACGCTATTTGTTCCCTCAGGGTACTTGAACCCATGTACACCATTGGTTTGGGATCCGGTTAAAGCGCCGGACATTCGCTTTTCGTCCTCTCATTTTCGTAAGTAACACCCCTGCCATGAGAAGGCAGTGAGTAGGGCTTCCCTGGCAGAGGCTGTATACACGTGACCGTGTGAGAGCATTTCGAGAGGGAGGGCGGGCCCACCCCACTTTCGGCCATACCAGGGTATAGTTAAGACATTATTCACTTTCATAGTGTTCAAAAATATTTTTCAGTCAGAATACAGAACGATAGAGATATTTGCCGTTATTCTTTATGCTAGAAATTTAAAATCATAGTCAAACAAAAACACCTAAAGAATTTTTTGAACATCAACCACGTACAGATACAAGAACTTACTTGAAGTAAATCGAATAATTGTGAACCTTTTACATCATTCAGTTTCGCACTGATCAAAAGTGAAGCTGAAGCACATAATCTTCTATTCAATTTTGTTAAAAACAACTATAAACCGAAGTGGAAGAGATAAAATAAAAAAATTTCGTTACTTATTGAAGCAAAAGACACAACAAGGAACCATAAAATTAACAGATAAGATAATCTGATTTTTGAAATAGTTGTTGTACAGTACAACTGATGCATAATGCAACTGTAAAACTCAATTAATAACCATCAATGATTAAATTTCATACTACCGCACTAACATTTCTCCCTCCTCATAATCAATAAATGAAGTCTCATAAACACTGAAAAATTTATATTCCATCATTAACGATCATGAGGAAACATAAATTTGTGAGTTAATCTACAAAAAGTCAAGAGTTTGAGAATTAGCCATTGAAGTGACACACTTCAAGTAGCCAGGAATGAAAATCGAGTTTAGGTGTGTGGATCTAAATCTTCAAAATAAAGATCCTATTTTCAATCGATTGTGGTTGAATTTATGAGAAATAAAGCAGTCTTCACCACCGGCCCCTCCGAACAATTACTTATTAGCTGTTATTAATTAGAATAACCAAATAACATCAACTAGGTTGGTTAATATTACGAACGAATGAAAAGGCAGTCATCAATCGGTAATTTCATGAGAAGGTTAAAATTTTTCATTGTTGGAACGCATATATGCTATCTTCATTGAGTTTCCATAGACAGAATTCGATCACGATCTCACCATGTTAGACATTAATAATTATGAGGATTTCCGGTGTTCGAATAAAGCATCATTAAGTAATTTATTTTCACGTAGTTCGTACAAGCTGAGAGAGAATACTTGTAGTTAAATTATACTATATTCCTTATTACGGACCAGAAAAATGAAGCAATCCGATTTACCGAAGAAATTAGAGGGAGTAGTGACAGATAAGTAGACATATAAAATGAAGTACCTGTATACTGAATAGTTAGAAAACATATTCTGTTGTTGAATTCAGATTCTGACTACTAAACGTTAACTTCGAAATCGTCCTGCTAACGTGTGTTTTGCTCTCTCTTATCAGACTCTATGGCCTACCAAAAATACTATGTGGTATGACGACCCTGCCAAACAAATCATCCCTATGTAAGAGAGCAGAACACTTCTTCTAGAAAAAGTGGGGACCCTGCCCAACATGTTTGCACAAATTTTGCAGCACTAGTCAGAGCATCCCTACATACACTCGATGTCTAACGAATCCGAAAAAATATGGAACGCTTTATGATTTCAGGTGAATGTACGCAAAAATCATGTGATGCATCACTAGATATATCAAATGAAAGAGATATTTAAAAGGGTTACAAATAATTAGAAAATATCGTGTGAGCAGATAGGAGAATTTCGGAAATAGACTGAAAACATATTTAGAAATAACAACCAATCTGCAAAGCATAGGAAGTTGACTCCTATAAATTCAAAAAATGAGATTGCATATGACACAACATCAAAAACGATAGGGTCTCTGAAAAATAACACTTATTTCCGAGAGCTAATGAATTTACTGACAAAAGTCATTGTGAACGAAGTGGAAAGTAAACGACAACATAACCTACACTGAAAATCTCAACAGGATTGCATCACTAGAATATTTATATATTACTTTTATTCCATACTTTCTTTTTCTTATATCGCCAATCAAGACTAGTGATTCTGGTCGTGAAATTATCCCCTTTTGTTATAAGTATGAAGTCCAATTACCATTATTTGCCGTTAGCGCAAAGAAACTAGTACATGTTATAACTACTTGACTTTAATATTTCCTTATTAATTTATATTAGGCAATATAATTTTTTGTTAACTTGGCATAAATCCTTTAGTTCCCTTTGTACATTTTCATGGTGAATGAAAAGCAATCAGTGACATTAAAATGTCAATGAGATTCAAACAAAAATGAACAAAATAATACCTTGAGTACTAATTTTTCGAAAAGCACATGAGCATGTGCAACAATCCATAGGTCCATAGACAACTGAAAATTAGAATTTCATATATATATACCATATCAATTTAATGAGATATATAATATTACTAAATAGAATATAAGTAGCTCAACTTTCAAAGTATAAAATGATATCGTATGTAAATTTAGCCTTACAAGTTAGAGATTGGATTAATGATTTCATTTTAAAAAAACAGTTGAACGAATTTACATAAAATATTTATTGAGGTGAAAAAATCATTTGCTATGCGCGAGACTTGTATGTTTCAGTTACTATTAATAGGAGAATAAGATCTGGTTTAATCGATCATTCGACTGATGAAAAAGGACAAGCACATAGAGACATAAGGTCAACAGCAACTTTACAATAGACGTTCTATGATTTAAATTGTCAACTTGTTAGGTGACGGTCATTGTAGATGAGAATGAGAAAATTACGAGACTATAATGAACCCAATATACTCAAAAAGAACTGAGCTGAAATCAAACTATTATTCGGCTGATTTAATAAAAATAAATTTGCTGGGATAACAAACAATGTAAGTGAAATCAGTGAAACATTATTGAGTCGCGGTTCTAAGATTATAATAATCTAAAGAAAAGAATGTTAAAATATTATTAAGTCAAATTCAAAGGATGTCAACAATCAGTTTCCTAAAAATACACAAAAAGAAAATCGGGATAAATTAGTGACTCCTAGTTAGTACATATATTTATGTTCACTAGTGACTGGCTTCAAGATGGATTTCCTGGAGTTCTGGTGAGAAACCGTGACCAATGGAGTCCAATCCGTGTCTGTTTTGAGGCAGTTACTCACTGAAGACAATGGTGGAAAGTCGCGCAACACTGTGGATCGGTTGAATAAAGAGCATGTTTTTTTAAAAATGCAAATAACACGGGTGGTTCATGAGAAGAAGATACGCAAAAACAATTTTTAAGGAATATCTGCCATGAAATGAAGTGATATTTAAGACAAAAGTTAGGTTTGAAACTTTTTAAATATCCTGATTTCATTTGAATGAATATAAGTATCTCGGTAAAAAATTAAACCACAAAAAATAAATTAAAAACTACACCACTCAATTAGAAACATTAAAAAAGAACAACTAACGCGTTGAGCAATTTGTACCAATACTAATTTTATGCTACGCAATTTCGTTAATGTTATTTGTATTGATGGAAACCTTTCATGGAATTGTCGATTGACTTCACGCTTACGTTCATTCGGTCGAATATATCCCAAAACACTAGTCTGTAATGGTATAAGTAAATTGAAAAACAGTAGATAAATCATAATGATAGAAGTATAATTTGATGGAACATATTGCGTTGAGTTTGACAAATCAAGAGGAACCATAAGCCACCAGAAACGATGTTTTCTGTATGAAAAGATGAATAATTCTTTACATTGGTAAAATTGACCAGGAGTGATTTCATACACTTGTTATGAAAGTTTAGTATGATGTTGATTCAATCAATGAATCAGTGTGAAGTGATTCACCGTTAAAATGAGATCAAACAAAGAACACACAAATCATCAGTTGAGATGGTTGAGACATGTATCACACATGACCACCCACTGCTTACCAAGACGTGCGATGTTTGCTGCTATAGAAGAAGACTGTAAGAAAGTTAGGGGCGGCTAAACGAAGACGTGACATCAGTCCGTGAAGTCGCTGACTATTGGATTGAATTATGATGGTAGGTGCAGACTAAGTGTTTGGAGTTCGCGCGATAACTATGAAAGATATTGTAGACGTTGGGTGAAATGACTCATAATCGGTCTTTCACTTTTGTTCTACAAATCTTTTTTCTTACATCGTAAAGCCTATGCTAAGTGTTTATCAGTACCACTGATATGGTTACTAATTTTACTATTTTGGCATTTATCATGATAATTTCATCTTACTGTTTTGCTTCATATGGCGTGGGAATTTGAACCGACGCATAAATGTACCCCAGGTCCTACGTTGCCTGAAACTGGCTTAATCCAAATGGAGAGCATTGTTCACCAACATAGCTGTTGACAAACACTGAATATCTTACAAAAGTACAACTGTTCAATCTTTAGAAATGAGAAACAGTTACTCCGTTCTGCTGAAAACCTAGATACAGGGTTTTCTATCGACTACATCTAACCAGTAAGAGAATGAAGAACGTTTGGTAGTGATCTCAACTAGGCTGTACTAATTAGAATGCTTCCCATAATTCGCAGTCCAGTCAAAATTTTTGTATAAGAAAGTATAGTCCCATTAAATAAAGTAAAAAAATGTTAGGTCGGAAAAACGTGTAATTAATTATAACATTTCCTAGAGGTTTTATTTTCTCCTTGCACTTAACAAAGATGTTCCCATAAAAGTGAAAGGTAAACAGATATTTAAACCAGATTAATCAGTGTATAGAGTTGATAAACTTTGATATCAATACTGCCACAGTCCCAGATCAAATGTGAGGTTCAATCAAACATAAAGTATTGGGTAGGATCAATTGCAGCTTAAATTGATTTATTTTTTCTAATTTAATTTACCATTTATTACTATTGAATTGCATCAATCCACTCAGTCACGTAAGCATCAGTAACAAAATAGCTACATAAAAATGATAGACGACCAATTGTACGAATAATTTAAACAACTCACCAAATAGTTCGGAAGTTTTAATACACGTTTCCCTGTTGAAACTAATAATTCCGGATCATCCAAAAGAAATGGGTTATAACTTATCAATGGATCTGGATAACCTAAAGCTATAGATGACAATAAGGATAAATTATTACCAAAAACGTTACAATTTGTACTGCTTGAACTAGGATTGCGTTGTCTATTAAATGACGTCGTAGAATGATGCCAATGTGTATTAGACGAAGGGGTTACTGTAGAATTACTCAAGAAGCTACGTCGAGAATAATTCGAGTTAAGTATAGCAGAAGCTATGAAAAAAAGAGAAAATTAAAATTTGTTTAGTCAAAATAAGCACATAGAACTGATTATTTCCACGAAAAAATGAAATAAATCAACCCTGAGGTCATTTAGCTTACAATTTAAACTTATAATTAACAAAAATAGTACTTCCGTGTTTAATGAAAACATAATTGACAGATACATACGCACAAAGATTAATAAACATGAATAACAGTGTAATCTAATATGAAAAACGTTAAAGGGAAAAAAGTGGATAACTACTGAATTTCATCTCAGTGGTCCTGGATAACCCATCCGCTACAAGATCTGGAAACCATGCATTGAATTTCTGATTGAGTAGTAAATGCGTACTTTTGAGTATTCTAAAACTAGGATAAGACAGGTCATCCAGTACTCCTGGGTTTTCATTGGTTCCCCAAACGATGTCAATCCGTGAAAAAAGAACATCTGCATAAATAGTATTATTATTTGACGACTTCAGAAAGCTTGAATCTAGACAATCACTGGTCAAGATGTATCTCTGGTGTTGAGCATACTATTGATCGGTGAAAATGTCTTCAAGACACCAACTGATATGAGTCAGAGATACCGAATGATGAAGACTACATGTTGAAGTATGAAACAGAGATCCATGGAGTCCTCTGTAATATTTTACTCAACACTAAAAGAATATTCGAATAATATTAAAATACACCAGACACTGCAAACCTGATCAATAAAGTTGGATTAAAATTCAGAGATAGACATAATGCTGTTGGTTACCAGGTAGTGGTTAATGACTTCCTAAATATGTTACCTACAAGATTGTATCTTACGAGATAATCCCCACATATTAAATTTTTTAAAGAGATTTTTCATTTATATAGACAATATCTCAAACATGATTATCAAATGTTTAGCCATCTAACACGTTGCTTCTAGGATGAAAAAGTAACCCATCAAGTATAAATTCATATACTCAACTTTGACCCCTGGTGACATTAACCAGTTACCCAAACTAAAATGGAAGGGAACTCTAGTCTGCGACATGGTAGTTGAAACTCGCTCGTCCTAATGGCTAAGCCACTGCTTCGCCGATACAAAATTATCCAAGTTCAGCTTGGTAACCAGTTATACGGTAGTTGTTAATAACTGTAAAAACAATTTGCTGAATTATACGGTCTAATGAAAATGTAAGGACCACATCGAAATTCAGAGCTTCCAGGAAGTTGAAAATGTACTTGTCAATCATTATATATAGCAGAATAACATAAATTAATGAGCATCTACCAAAATCTAACTTTAGGCAACAACTAGATGGTAATTATCTCTATTAAACTAATGATCTCACTATCTCACTAAGATGATTTTATATCATTCCAAATTTCATAATATCACTAATTCGTTGTAAACTAAAGACAAATCTCGTCAAGAACTTAGTGTGTAAACTCAGAAAACACAACTGACCTCCATCAAATGTTATATGCATAATGGTCACGAAGCAATCAAATTGACTGATATGATATGCATAAATAAATACTAAACAGTACATCGAAATAAGCGCATATATAGACAGAAAACAACATGCACATTTTAAATTGTGTTTGAGATTGTTGATGTATACACTACAAATATTAATTCTAACTAAAATTACCAATGATGTTAAAAATTAGTAATCAAGTGAAATGCATTAATAAACGTACACATTTGATGTTAAAACAAAAGAACAGTAAACAACTAAAGTACACTACGCTATAATCAAAAGATGTAATAATGAATAATAACGATTACAAAACCTGGGTTCATGAATTTCCGTTGAGCACTTTAAATATCAAGGTTATAATAAATTATACTAAGGTGATGTTTTAGTAGTTAGTAAATGATATAATAATTAATCTGAAAGAAGTCAATGTTGAGATTTTATTTAATTTACTATTAAATAAATCGAATTGCAGTGATCAAAAGTTGATGAGACTCACTTAAAAATGTTGACGAGCAATAAAGTAAAAAACAAAGTGTTGACTATAGGTCACCTGTCCATTACAACTAAACATTCAACACCAGCTAACTCATGTAACATTACTACAACTGCAAAAAGTGAGGGGAAAAATCGCAAACCAAAATTCTAGAGATTTGTAATAAGATTAAAATTCAACCAGAACTAGGAAAATTCTTTTTATATAAAAAAGACAAAAAACGATGCAGAAAACGTTTATTACTATTCGTATAATGCACTTATTGTTAAATGACCTATTCTCACCTTCGTGAAAATGAGTAAACGAATCACAATTTGATCTGAAACCTGAATTTAGTAGAATATCGATTGGATGCCCAACTTTTACAGTATTCTTTGACAATTGGCAATTTGGTTGAATGAAATGAGCATATGAAATAGTCTGAGAATAAAGTAAACAAAAAAAATAACACGACAATACAGATTTTGAAGTTTTGCATTAAAATAACGACTAATGAAAGTAGCGACAATAATGTGTTAACTTATCAAAATGCACAGAACATTTGCCAAACCACAGGTATGATAAAGGATAGGATGAATAATAAAGTGGTTTTCGAGAAAAAAAATATGATAAATTAATTTTGTATTGTTTGTTTGAATCTTCCCAATGATGTTTAGGACTGTATTTGGTCAGCCTCTTATTGGCATATGTGCATTCTGTGTGGATTGCCTCGATAATCCCTTAAGTCACAAGCATTATAAGCAAAAATGAATGTAAATTTCAGCCCATTGCACAAGTTAGTGGCTATCAGGACTCAGTAACTAAGTGGATAATGTGATGCTGTTTAAAGAGAACGGTACTTGGGTTGGAGTCCCGAATTGAATATCAACTATGGGATACAAGTACATCCAGTTGACGAGTCCCAAATAGAACGAAACGCGCGTCCTGGATTCCGCCGCTAGCCGCCATCCATCTTTGCGTATAAAGAATATGATATTCAACTAAGAATTTTAGTAAGCGTGCTAGGGAATCCAAGGTAATATTATTAGATCACTAACTGATGAAAAGAATAACTTAAGCCCAATAATTTAAAATGATTCGTTCGGATAGGGTGAATAATTGTAAATATCAAACTTTCAAAACTTTTCTTTGGAGATTCAGCAATGTTAGAAGCATTTAATAAATCATTTAAAAATGTCTTTACATGACCTGAAAATGCTGAGAATACTTCGACCAAAGTGCTTTTTAAAAATTTTAAAGGGTGTTTTCATTATCCTGATGGATAATTACCCACATTTTTATTAATTTTAGAATGTCTTCTAGAGGCTTTGAGAACCTTAAAATAACGCATAACTATGAAAACCGTTGTGTTTCTGTAAATGAACGAACCGTCGAAGTAAGGCTTCTTTTATACTTCCCCACTTTTTACTGCTCGAGGATCACGAGTAGATTTCTGGGGACTAGAAAGCGGTTAAGAAGTCAATATTTAAGTATCCAAGAGTAATATATGTCAAGTATAAATGTCTCCCATTTATTAAAAACCGGTTTATGGTACGTAAGAATTTCCTAACTATGAGCTTTCGTTTAACACACTAACTGTTGCTGTGTTTTTTACTATCCCAAAAATACACAAACCTATTACTTGGTTTTTTATCATGAATATCTTGATTATGTACGTAATGACATTTACTAAGTACAGTGTGTTGTAATCTTGTATTTTATGTATATGACTATGACAGCTTTTCAAATCTGGATAAAACAAAATAATGCAGGAAATTATAATGGTCTTTTTTGGTGCTTTGATTAGTAGATTAAGAACTGTGAGAATATCACGTGAATTACATCAATATTACAGCATATGTATAGTAACTGTGTTATCCGACTACCCATATTTAGTGGGGATACAAGCACAAAATCCATGACATTTATCCGAAATGAATTGTAAAATAAAATCTGAATAATCATTAATAATAAGTAATTTAATGGAGACTCATGATATCTGGAAAACTAATCAAATCATTAAGCACTGCCAAACTGATTTTGATTTCATGTGTGTGCAATGAATGATCACTGAGAAGTGACTAAAATCGTGTTTGTTTAGTCCTCAGTGCTGGTCAAATTCGACCGACCAAGTTGCAACGTAGCTACCAGTCTGAGTAAAGTGACTAATGAGTGTAAGTACCTGACTCCTACAGGAATCTAATCGCTCCATGAATAGTTTCGTGGTAACATCTCAGATTGTGAATCTGGATGGTCAGCGTTCGAACCTACCAGGGAGCATCACTTACTTTAAGACTGCAAATACTACATTTTGACGAGTGATAAGTAGCAGGAAACTTAGGTGCAAAGTTTCCTGACGACTACCTAGAACCATATAACATTCCATATATTTATGTGTAATGAAGAGAAATCCTAAACTAGTAACAAAACAGTAACCATCCAGTGTTTGCAAGTTTTCAATGATTTTCTAACTGACATCAATCCCCGACGAAAATCACAATTCAAATTCTATATCCATTAATCCAGATTAAAAAAACTGTATATACGTGTACGATATGTATTCATTTCATTTAAAACATAAGTAAAATAGGTTATTATATAAGACCGATGTACAAGTTTTTTTATATATCTATGTATATGTAATGGTCATGAAATAACATCAATGATATTTTACACTTCACTGACAAGTACATGTGATTGTTGATCAAATCTACTTAGGAATCCCCAGTCTGTATACTGAGAGGATAATACGTAAGCTACGCTTGTTTTTTACAATCAACAACAATACGCAACCCTAACATAAGGATAATTTATATCCCCATGGAAGTATAGGCAAGGTCAATGTCCATTCAAATACAAAACGCCACAGTTGAGGGATTTGCGTTCCAAAGAACTATCTATAAAGATGATATACTTTATAATTGACCTGAATTTTATTTACTTAGTAGTTTCACCACAAGAGATTGCTGCTTAATAAATAGTTACGTCTGAATGACAAAAACCTTTTGATTTGTTTACTTTCAGAGACTAAGTCTAACAGCTGTATAGTCAATCAAGTAGAACACACTATTAAGCTCTAAATTAAGAAGCAAAAATTTTGTCAATCTCACTGGTACCATACGCTAATAAGTACCAATCGAACTCCTACTATTCACTATTAGTTTGTAGGTCATCACCAGAATAGTTAGTGCAACCTATAGAGCCCAGAATTAAACCTATAAAGATAAATTACCATATATGTACAGTTTCCTAGTTAATTAATAACGATAATATAATCTAGTATATTTTCGATCTAGATTGAGTAGAATCATATAACACATTTATACGTTTATTTCTTTACCTCACCATTAACAGGTCGAAACGAGCTAAGACTTAACACATTATGAACAAAATTGGATTGAGGGTTAAGATCTTTAACATGTGTAACACCGGTGGATATAGAAGTCTGTGGTAGGCGGGCTGAACTTGCGGGAGACTGAAACTGTTGCACACCTGAAGAAAGTTTGTGGGAACTGGGAGGAAGGATATGACGACGTCCAACTCTAAATAAAAGAACCATACATAAAGTATTTATCAAATGATTAAGTATGAAAATGTTGTTAAATGCTACCGATAGAACAAAACAATACAGAGGTGAGAACAAATATTTCCAAGAAAATCTAACCGCGCTGTAATAATTATTCTTTAAGCTTCCCTGTCACTGTTCATGGATCGATGAGAAAATTAATAATGATGCTATTTCTTTTCCAAGTTCCCCAAGAAAAGATGTGTTTATCATAATCCCAACTCATTGCATCATGGCGACACCAACAGCTGTTTCTTCATCAAAGTAAGCAAAGTAAACAAAATAATTTGAGATTATTACATAGGAAACCTATTCTCTAATCTAACTATCAATATAAACAGTTGTTTGAATGAATTTTATTTAACACCTGTTATAATCTCTCTTTCTTACGGTATGACCCAGCTATACCTATTGCTTAATATTCTTGGACACCAATCACTCGACAAGTCCCCAAATCAGAACACGGTTGAACAGGAAAAAGATTATATTCCAAATAACAAGGTTAGATGGAAGTAAGATGCAAGCAAGAAGCATAATAGGGAAAATGTCAGTATATTTATAGTTTTTACATGAGAAGATTCTAGAGTATTCTCCAACTATCGACTAGTGCTGATTGGATAAGAATTAGCCAATCAGCATGCACTGAAACAATCGTGCATTGAGCATGCTTTAATCCAGTCTATGTCCCGCTAACAACACCAATTGACTAAACCGTCTACTAAGATATATAATCTGTTTAAAAAACACATAGCATCAGCAAGGACTACGAAAGTTCACTGCATCTTAGGAACAACTAAGTAATAAAGTCAGACTTAAATACTGATGTAGGTTCAGATCTGTGCGAAATTACGCGTGTCCTAAGCGTTATGGGTACGCCTAGAAGCGCAGGAGATAAATTAGACACTATATGTTGAGTTTCGACGAGACATTTGATATCAGATATGTTACATTAATATCCCAAAGTGCTTAGTTTAATGGCCACACAAAGGGCTTGGTTAGGATTATAAGACTGAAGAACATAAGAGCAGCTACCTGAAACCTTGAGGTCTTCACTATCTTTCTAGACGACATCAACATATATTTTTAACAGTACTTTAAAAAGTATACATTGATGATATAGTTTAGAAAGACAATGTAAGGTTCACGATACCAAAACACAAAGCTCAGAAAGCACAATATCTTTAATATCAACCGCCTAAGCTACAAATCCTCTCTATCATCTCATTTATCAACAAATCGGTTGACTAATCGTAAAACGTTTTTAAAACTTTGTAAGAAATAACTAAAGTTAGTCAACTGAATTTAAGAAGTTTTACCTGAAGTGAGATCCCGTTGTTTTACGATGATATGGTAAAACTGAAAACAAAGTAACTGGTTTCCCACTAGCACCTAGGGGGCTTAATGCCATTCTAAAACAAAATTAAAAACAAACAAACAAATTTGGATAACACATTCTGCTTCATCTATATAAAACAAATAACGGAGTTGCTAATTAAAATAACGATAAATAATAAGTTATGAGTGAAATTTTATGATATCGTTGGTAAATGAACGATACAACTAAAAAAAGATCAAAATAGTCAATATGTAGGTACGAAACAAGTATTTTTTATAATATTAGTATGCATACATACGTCTTCACTGTTACAACAAGACAAATTATGACAAAATAAGTTGGGACTACTAAGCAATACAAGTTCAGATGTTGCTTAAGTGTAGTATAAGTTTCTTTAAACTTTTAGATACTTTTTTCTTACCAGGCCTAAATAGTATAGAATTCTGGGAAATGATCACCTATCGATAGCATAGGATACCAAGTTCATTTATTGCTCGTAAATAATTTAACTTATTACATGTCCTTCGTACACTAAACTACTCATAATTACATTTATTGACGAATAGAAACTAAACAAAGAAAATAATCGTGATACAACTACTATGATTGTATACAGATATGATTATATTTAAAGATAGTAGTCAGAATGAATCGACCCAATAGTATCATAAGATACTAGAACGATAAACATCTGAGTATCTACTTATAAAGTCAACCATCAAAAAACAAAAATACATTTTGATTTGAACGATTCCAATTTATGTGTATAAACACGCTAAAAAGAGAAGACAAAAACCCACTATGTATATAGATATAGATTGTTGCATAAGTTACATGTGAAAAAAATAGGACAATTGGATAGACAATGGTCATTCTTTAAGCATGAAATCTTGGCTAATATACAATAATATCAAATAAATGAGTCTGTTTTTTTTTCATTAAATTGTTAAAATTATTTTACTTTAAGAAAACAATATTCTGTTCAACAAGAGACGACAAAGTAAGTGATATGACGTAACAACGCTAAGGCATAATACAAATGGTCCACTTGTAGTGTACGATACTTATTTCTGTCGACATAAGTAGTATGCAACACCAGTCGAAAGTTGAATAACTGACAGCAGAAGGCTAAGAAGACCGAACTGAAGAAAATAGAAAAGGAGATAGAAAAGAATCAGATAGAATGTAAAGGATAAATGATGGGAATTTGCAAATGAAGTATTCAGTGTATGGTTCTCATATTTTAGCAAGATGTCCTATAGTTTCGTATTAAACAACAAACTGGTTATCCCCACTTGAGTTATCGTTCACGAAACACTAACACGTAAAAATGAATTTACCTGCTCTTGTGGAGCTAGGTATATAGGTCGTTCGATGCGTACTTTATCCAAAAGAATTCAAGAACATTGTCCGGCGTGGCTAAGAAGAGGAGGCAGCGGCTCAATAAGAAGTTCTATAATCGAACACCTTGTGAACACAGGTCACTCAATCAAGACAGACTCTGCGTTCAAGGTCATCTACAAGGTAAGTAGAAGCCTTCCTAAGACAATTAGACTGCATCTTCTTTGCATTGCCGAGGCAATAGCCATACATTTTGAAAAACCAGAATTATGTGTACAAAAGAGACTGATACAACCTCTTCTTTTACCATGGTCTTAATGTATTAAAATTTTTCTCTTTCTCATTACTCTTGTTCTTTTACAGCCACCTGCTTCACCTTCCATCTTCACTTCAAATCTTAGACCCCCAACCGGTTTGTTTTTATTTCCACGATCATTCTGATTACATTTCATCTCTGTTTCAACATTTTATGTTATTTTATCATGCTGAGCTACCCTTACCCGATGAATATCTAAGCCATTAACTATCAAACTTTCCTTGTTTTAAAACATTTTTCTAATACCTTTGTTTATTTAACCTCACTGTCACCATGTATAACATAAGTTTATTATCAGTATTATTATCACCCTGTAAAAATAAGTATATATATTTGCGATTGTACAGCTTTGAAAATGAATTCGCCGAAAAGAGAACTCTTCGCTGAACTAATCTTTCTTTCTTATTTAATGTCAAAATGAATTGCACCAATTGTATTTTTAAAAGGAATTTATTAAACCCCTATTCACTCAGCTTAAATTACGGGTCAGTCACATGAAATAAGCCTGCATGACATTAATTTTTCAAATTGATTCACGTGTGAACACACACAAAAATGTCAGGAAAAAAGGAAATTATTTTGTTCGAATAAGGATGAATTAATTGTGAACATTTAAAACGCAAACTACCGAACTACAGGAGTTTTAAAAAAGTACAGATGTATTAAAAATATTAATGAAATGAGGAATAACTAAATGAAATGAATAACACATCCAATATTGAGAAAAGTAAAATAGATTAGATCTATGAAAGAGAGACTAATTTATTTAATCATGTTAGTTATGATTAAACATTGATTTCTATCATATATAGTATGAAAAAGGATTTCGACAAAATAACATAAATCTATCTAATTTCACTACAATTTTACCAGTTTTTTACAAACTCTAGGATTTTAAGATCAAAATTATGAATAAAGTTAACAACATAGCTGAAGTTGGTTCAAAGTGGTGCAGCGTAGATTTAAATGAAATTAATAAGATTGAAAAAAATGTGTCAAATGAATACCATGTGCACGAGAGGATTCATGAATATATCCGAAAACATTAACAAAACATCATACAATGGACGAACAAACTACTTAGGTAAATGAAATAGCTAAATACAGATTTATGGTGATTGAAAATAACATGAGTTGAGGTTACTTAGTCAAAAACAGAACTACGGATTAAAAAGAATTGGAGATGCATGTAACCTTAGAAATGAGAACCTAGCGAAACAAAAGCTATTTATGTCATTCTGCTCAAATCATTGTTTTTGTGCTCATCAAATTGTCGATCACGTTTTTCACCTTTTTCAAACTTAACACCACTAACTAGCATAAGATTAAGATAGGGATTTCTTAACCATACGTTCTTTAAAATTTACGCGTTTTCGGAAGTGCTGAGCCATAAACCTACACAGCATCGAACGCGAGACATTCACATCATGCGGTGACTGAGTCAAAATTTTCAATTTAGTTTAAATTGTAAGCAAGGATTAATCAGTGAGTGAAGACATACACATCCGGACACATTACATATACGGAACTACCTTGATGTTTTACAAGATACTTCTGTTTACTATATGTAGAAGTTATTCCCAAACTTAAATATAACCAGAATTTAATAAATATGAATAATAGAATTCATACACCCTGAACAAAAAGGTTGTATGAACCTATGGTGTAGTGACCCAAGTACTTGGAATTTAAAATACTGGATTACAAGATCAAAAACTAAGTACGAAAAATGTAATTGAAAAAAAAAATTATCTGTGTGGTGCGTGCTACTTATATTGATATAAGTAGTATATAACGTGAGTTAAAAGAATGTAATGTCTGGCAGCAGAAGATGGAGAAGATCAAGAAAAGAAGAGCGAGAAAACAATGGAATTTGTAAGAAATCGCATGAGCAATGAAATGCGAGACAATGGATTGATGTTTGCAACAGCAACAGCCCGGTTTGATATGATAGAATGATATTTTGCAAATTAACGATTTACTATATGGTTTTTCTATTTTACCAAGTAATTCTGTAATTTGCCCTAAATACAATTTGGCTGTCCTCACCCGTGTTCTTCTTCACTACATTTGGTGTCGCTGCCTCCACTGAGGATGAAGATCCCATGGCCGAAGGAGTTCGAGGACGGAGATGTGCTGAGCTTCCTGAAGGAGTTTGAGGCCGTGGCGGAGCTGGTGGGAGTGAAGGAGCCGAAGGCGAAGTTGGTGGTGCTGGGGACGCTGCTGAGAGGCAGGGCGAAGGCGGTGTATGATAGCCTGGACGGTGCTGGCGGGAAGACCACATAGGAGGCAGTCACGGAGCGGTTGGCGGCGGAGTTTGACAGCCCAGTGGACAGAGAGGACGCGCTGCAGAAGTTCCGGTTGGCGAGGTTGCCGGTCGATGGGGACCCACTGGTGCTGGCTGTGGAGCTTACCAGACTGTTACGCCGTGCGCTGCCGAGTCTGGATGAGGAGTCGGAGGCACAGTTGTTGGCGTCACAGTTTATCGAGAGTGTGCCTGCCACCGTCTCCCAACAGCTGAAACTGGTGAACGCAGCGCAACCGATGGATATCAGTGAACTGGCGAAGGTGACTCGTCAGCTGATGACGCGAACAGTAGCTCCGGTCGGGTGCGGAAAGCAGGAGATGAGTAATATCGAGAAGAAGATTGAGGAGCTGGAGCGCGAGATTGCAGCAATACGAGTGAACAATAAACGGAACGATAAATGTTACGCTTGTGGAGGGACAGGACATTGGAAGATAAACTGTCCAACAAGACGAAGACGCAGATATGTTAGACGTTACAACGAGTGTTCTTTCTATCCTAGGAATCTGGGGATTGTTGCGTTAGTAGACAGAGGGGCAGTATATACGAGAGTGAACATAAATGAGCGAGATTTAGTTTGTCTGATCGATACAGGTGCAGCGGTATCGTTAATAGGCAAAGAGCAATGTAAGCGAATCAAGCCGTGTACATTAGCTGTCCACACGATAGGGGGCCATATGTTAGAGGTGTTTGGCGTATCTAACAGTATCGTAAAAGTGGGGGATGCGGAGATAAATTTTCCGTTCGTCGTAACCACAAGCTTATCGAGACCGATATTAGGAGCAGATTTCCTAAGAGAAGTAAAAGCGATAGTTGACTTAAGAAGCGGTAACGTGGTCACGAAATATGGTTCATTGACAATACACGAAAGTAGCGAAGTGGCTGAAATAAGAGTTGCAGCGGATGTCTCGTCAAAGAAACCAAACATTCACGAGTTATGCAAAAAGTATGCGAAACTATTCACTGGAGATGGGGAGCCGTATGGATTTTGTGACAGAGTAAAGCACGAAATACCGATAAAGAACAGTCGAGTAAATATATTTGCAACACGTCGTGTCCCGGTGCATTTAGAGGCCGAGGTAAATCGTCAGGTTCAGGAAATGTTAAAAGA